AGCTGCCTTTGTGGAAAGTCATTTTTTCTTGTACAGGGGGACTAGGGAATTTCAAAATAAACTTGGATGCAAATATGTTGTCCCGTTTTAATTTGTTTGTGTGTCTTTCATATTGTTATTCAAACAATAAGTTTCAGTTGTGAAATGGCAAGCCTAAGCCTCCTAATAAAAACTTGTATCCTATGTAAATGCATTTGGATCATGACACAGGTTGATCAAATTTAAGGACCCTATTAAATTTGATAAATACCATATTTTATTGGAGAAATATTTAAGGGCTAAGGAGCCTAGATTTATTCTCTTTATGGACATGTAGCTATCATTGGCTAAATGTATTCCGTAGTAGCTGACTGTTTTTGGTAGCCTTACCATTCCAATTTGTTCCTTTTTTTTTCCTAAACTGCCGTTTTCTACCGTCCTCATTTTTGGTTGTCTTAATAGGGTAGTGCTTTAGCAAATTTCATTTGCTTTACTTGATTACAGTGTAGCATAATACGCTTTACAAATATTGTTATCAAGACCGGGTAACATATGTATATGAACTACTGTACACAATAAATTAAATTACACAAAAAGAATAAAGTTTATTTTTTAAATGATTGTTTTGGCCAATTGGCGAAGAAAACGTCGATGCTCCGCCCATCTTAAGGAGCTGTCATGGAACCATCATGGTGCGTTCATGTAACAACCGTAAAAAGGATTATCGTTTTGCTTCTCAGTAATTGACACACATGATTTGTCTGGGTGATATCGTCCATGAAACGTTTGGGATTAAAACGTTTTAATTTTTACAAACAGTTTGGAAAAAACAACAGATACCACTGTGCACTGAAAAATAGACAGGGAACGTAAAATAGTCTGTGAAATACGCTTGACATCGCATTTCGCGAGCAACAGTGAAGTCATCGTTTCTCCTCCAGTCAAACGGAGCCATATGAGGTGACTCTGATTTACTCGCTGTCTGGATTCGCTGATTATCTATCGTTACACAGTTTTTATGATGACAGGTAGACTTTAGCTTAGAGGACAGAAGCCGAAACTTGCTTTGACATCACAGCCTTCATTGGGTAAAGCGTTGACCAGAATCGGACGTGGCTAATGTTAGTGAAGGAGCAGGAGGCGAATCATTTGTTTCCCATCATGTCAGAGGGGTTCCGTTATTTTTAGCGAACACTGCAGGCTAATGGTGGCGAACGACGCGTGACTCTCAGTCAATCAGTGTGTTGTTTGGTGGGAAAAGCGACGTAAATGGAGCAGTGGCAGGACGCGGCCTTCCGCCAGGTCGAGCTGCTCGCAAACCGTTTGAATGGAGCCTTGTCTAAAGGCATAGAGTTGCTGCGTTCCGAGCTCGGCGTGGATCTGGGACTGAAGCCCGAACTCATTCCACCATGGCTGCTCCTGTTAGCGGCGTGCTCTGGGGTGCTGCTAATGCTTCTGCTCTGGGCCTCTCTCTGCCGTGGGCTCTTCGGGAAACGACCGCCTGTGAGTACCGTGGATGACCGAGCTGAAGTCGTGCGTGGTGTCAGCAAAGCAGCTAAAGCCGAAGAACCGAAGAAAAAGAGGAAAAAATCGGAAAAGGTGCGTAAATGAAGTCTGTGTCAGTTAGCATGTGCAGCTAACAAGACTAGTTGCTAACAGCCATTGACAAGTGAAGCCATCATAAGTATAATCGTGAACGGGTAATTTATCATGACACTAATTCATATAATAAAAACATTTTGATATATATTTTAATTTCCAGAAAGCTCAGCCCAATGGAAGAGCTGTTCCCGAAGCACAAGAAGAAGCCATTGTGTCAGAGGAATCGGTGCCACATCAGCAGTCTCCTCCAGCTGAAGTCAAGTCTGAAAAAGCTGCAGAGGTAAAGCGACATTCATCATTACTGCAAATGACAACTAGATATAAAATCAACTCCACAATTTTATTATAACTGAGTAAAATGAAAAAGCTGAATATTACGACAAAGTTATTAAACATGCTTTTGTGCCAAACAGAGGATTATTAAACCAATTTTACTGAACAACCCTTAGTTGAAACCTTTAAGTTGTTTTACTCGTCTTGAAGATAAAAACGACAGTACATTCAGTACAGTACAAAACATTCCAAGGTCAAAATAAATAGAATTGACCTATTTAAACTGAAATCTCTCGCACTCAACCTGGAAATGAAAAATGAATCAGGATTTGTCTTTTAGATGTGCTCACCATATAAAAACCTAGAACCTAGGGTTTTAGCCAAAATATGTGAAAGGACCATGGAATAGCTAACATAGACTTACTGTTACAATGTTTTTAATTTTATTTTACACAACAGAATAGACCAGAATAGGAAAAAATGCCAGCTTTTTGCAAAAAATGATGGAAGTCTTGTAAACAGACCAAAAGTGTCAAAGTTTGATTTCCTAGTCGCCAGTAAATAAATGTTTTTTTTTAATAAAAACAACGTAACACATTTAGGTGCTCTTGGATGGCATTTCATTTATAAATAGAAAGTGGCTGAAGCATGCTGCTGTGATTGACTGTCCATGGCTTCACTTGCCCAGTTGCTGTTCTTGGAGGCGAAGTCATATGTAAGGCATAGTATCTCCACTGTAGACCCTTCTCTTTTTAATATTTGACCTGCTAGACTACTGTAAATGCCTTTTTAGATTATATTTCAGAATCTGAGTCTACTTTTTATGGTCTTGTAGACAAAGAAGTCCAAGAAGAAGGCCAAACAGGCTGCCAAAGAGACCAAACCAGTGAGCGGAGATGGAAAAGAACCAGAAGAAGGTTAAACACTAGTCAATTATAAATGCATCTTTATTTAAGTATCTAAAGTCCACAGTTTGTAACTCCGTGCTCAAGACCCAGCTTTGTATTGTATGAAATTTTAAAAAATCACAATTATAATATAGTAGTTTAAACCTGGAAAACCAACAAGCTTTTGAGCAAATAACCTACCCTATTGTGCAATAATGGCGTGAATAACTTGTTATACTTCCAGGCACCTGGGAGACCAAGGTTAGTAACAAGGAAAAGCGAGAGCAACGAAAGAAGGATAAAAACTCAAGTGATGGTTCAGCTAGTCCTGGTGGAGGAAATACACCAGTGAACAATCCTCCAGAGCCTCCGAAAGAGTCTGCGACCCCAGCACCTGCAACACAGAAGAAGAAAAAAGGTGATGTTCTCGTCTTTTGTATATTCAGTTAGAGTAGATTATCTTAAACGTATTCTCTATCCCTGTTGTTGTTACTGGAGTATTGCTTTTGTTGATGCTTTTGGCACATTTTGACTTTTGCTCATGTGGTTATTCATTTTCTTTTAAAGGAGAGGCAAAAGAAAAAGCAAAGGTGGAGAAAGTTGAGGCTCCCATACCTCAAGGTAATTATCTGCTGAAACATTTATGACCATCTATTTACAACTATAGGAAAAAAAATTGTTTAAATTGTCAGAGTTAACTGATAATCACTTGTTTCCTGGTTTTAGCGCCCAGCAGAGAGGTGGCGCCAGTGACTCCTGCTGCTGCTCCTGCTCCTGCTCTTGCTCCTGTTCCGGCTCAGTCAATTAAGACTCCTGCTCTGAGCGTTTCTACGAAGCCAGGAACCTGGACAGCTAGCCGAGAACCAATGTCCCTGTGGAGATCAGAAATTGATGGTAAATGTTTTCTGCAACTGAACAGCTAAATGTTTCAACCCTACACGTGAGAGTTGTCAGAGCTGCCACTGTTACACACTCCTGGGCTGTTGCTCAATAAGCCTTAATTATCCTGCATCAGTAAACTGGGCCGGTTGTTACTCCTCAACATCATATTTACTTTTAAATTGGTATGTGTTTCAGAATCCTGGACTGTGATTGACCGAGGTTTACCCTCATCGGACATGGGTCTCTCCTTCACTGGACTTGGAGTTAGTCCTGCAGGTAAAAGAGAGGATCACATGTGTGTCGGAAATCTATTATGCTTTTTTTCATGAGACACATTCTGAAACACAACATTTACATTTTGGAAAACACAACCCTATTGTTAATATTCAGTGTAACATTCACTTGAAAAATGCTTTATATTACCTGAGCATTAGTGAATAAACCCTGTATATGACATACAATTCTGACCTCTAGGTGGCGTAGTTTGACAGAGCATTGTATGCTCCTGTTAGTTAAGTCCCAGTCTCTCATCTCTTGTAGAGCCTCACCCAGTGAGTGAGCTGCCCTGGCTGAGTCAGACCAGAGTGGATGATGAGTGGTCCGGCATCAGTAAGGCATTAGATCAGATTAGATCAGATTTTATTGATCCCACACTGTGAAAATTAATTTATAAATTCATAAATAATACATATAAAATAATGTATGTAAGTTCAAAAATGCATCTTTTTAATTTTTTTGTCATTTTGTGGGTTTTATAGATACTGGATCAGCTGACTCTGATTGGAACGCCCCGTCTGAAGCCTGGGGTAACTATGAGGAGGCCAATCACAAACCCCCTCCTGTTCAGGAGGAGCCACTCCCTGAGCCTGTGAAGGTGAATGTGCAAGATAAGAGAACGAAAAAGCACTTTGGTTTTCTGTTTATTTGAGTAACACTCTGACTTGTAGTACTAAAATTTTAGTTGCTAAAAGTTTAGATATAAACAGACCAAAAATGTTTTGTTCAGTGCCTATTAAGAAAAACAATATTTATGTTTGGACTTGTCATATCTTTAACGATCAAAAAGTGTCAGATTTTGGAAATTGTTTTTCTCCCACTGGATAATGGTTAACATCCCAGATGTCCTCCAAAGAGAATGTTCATCTTTTTATAGTTTTTCTGAATTTGAATTTTCTCACCTCTAACACATTTTCTGCTTAGAAACATTTTGCGTGTGTTGTTAATGTTCTACATTTTGTTCCTTAGGACAAAGATGAGGAGGAAAAGAACAAGACAGATACAGCTTCTGATGGAGTGACAAAAGCTAAGAAGAAGAAAAAGAAGAAGAAGAATGCAGAAGAAAATGGAGCGGTTGGCCAGGTAGCTGGTCAATTGAGTAATTTCTTTTACCTTTTTTACCTTTACCTACTTTTATCATGGAATCATGTAGCAGCTGAAGGTTAATTGTGTGCAGGGTGAGGAGCCAGAGAAAGAGGAAGCACCAGTGACCTCAGTGAAGAAGAAGAAGAAGCAGCAGGCGGCACCTCAGGACAATGTTGCTGTCGTCCAGCCTGTGAAAACAGCTGCGACTGAGGTCTGTGCACCTATAGTCTAAAAATAACCCTCTTTTGTGACTTATTCTGGTTTCTTATATTGCATCAAATCTTCCCTCTGCAGCACTTTAGTACTCTTATGCAGTCACCTCTAGAGGATTTTGTTTTTCTTTTACAGGTGAAAATGGAGCGACCACCGAAGGAAAACACACCTTCCAAACCCTCTCATACACAAGTGCCACAGAAGCCCATGGATAAGGATGTCGCAGCTAAGCAGAACAGCCTTCCAGCTGCAGTTGAGCAGAGTAAGAACATTAGACATTAGCTGTGAGGCCACAAGCTGCCTGAACATCTCAAAGCAAAATCAAATAATGGCATGGCATGTTCAGGTTGTCAGGTTTCCTGTAAACAAAACCAGATTATTAGAGGTCTCTGTGCTTAAACCGCACAGTTGGCATTGTGTAAACATAATTTTTCAATACAGACTGATTAGTTTGACAAAAATGTTTCAACTTCAATTTCAATTTCCTGTGGAGGCAAAGTGTGAAGGCCAGACTGAGGCTGGAGCTTTGTTTCTACAGGATCACAAAAAAACATTGACGTATTAGACAACAACAGTGGGCTCATTAGGAGCTGTTGTGCCAGATGACTGGCAATGAACTAAAAGGTCTCTTGATTATGCAGTTGTGCGTGTGTGTGCAGTTTTTACACCTACTGTTTATAAAGTGTTATTTTAAAATAGAAAAAAAATCTAAATCTTTTTCCTGACTCCCTAGAAAAACCAGAGGAGAGCCAAGCACCTAAACCAGCAAAGAAGAAGAAGGCACGGCGAGAGACATGAGGTGGTGTAATCTCTGTATGCAACAGAATTCTTTTCCCCTGTTTATGCAACATCTTTTGTGACAAAGACGTTGAACTGAGGTCTTTGATGAACTTGTCTTAAAACCTGTCTGGAAACTGAAAACTTTTTTTTTTTGTTTTACTCGTCGAGTGTCAGTCAGTGGATCATTGAAAACTGAACCTAGTTGCAGTGCAATCTAATGTGATGTTGATGACTTGAGTACGAGATACTGATTCTGTCCACTAATTCTACTGAATCTACTAGGTGATTGAAGGAGCTGTATGATAGTCATTAGACATGTAGGAAGAACTGAACCTGTTTATAAAATTAAGAGCATGAGAATGTTCGCCATGTTTGGAGCCACTCAACATTCAGGCCACTGTGATAAACTGGCCTGTAATTTTTTTTTTTAAATTTTGGTGTGTGAGTCATCATTGTACAAGGAGCGCTGGTAACTCAAACAGTGCTGCCTCAGTGGGTTGTATACATTTGTGACATCATAGACAAACATTGAAATCATCACCGCTCTGTATGTTTTGGCATTTCCTGTCTGTGAACCAAGATTTCACCAACTTTCATGGTTTGTCTCTAAGCTGATGTGCTGTGCTGTCAAACTTTGTCTGATGTGTGTATGAGCCACCCGATTGTCGATGTACCATTGAAACATCTTCATCTCTATCAGCATTTTCGCCCTGGAATTGATTTGAACGTCTTCAGAATCTTTTGTAAAACCTGTTTGTAAGAAAAGAAAAGCTAAAGCCATATGTATAAATAATAAAGGCCAGTTTTTCTATATTTAGTGTCATGGAATGATCCTTGGCCACATGGTGGCAGAAGTGGTTAGTGTTCTTGTCTAACACCAAAAAGATCATTGGTGTGCTGGTTGTCCTTCATGTCAAGGAACTTTGCCACGGTGTATTTGAAAGTAAACCAAAGCCCTTGTTTCCATGAGCTCCCGAACTCTGGGTGATAAGACTTGCACTACAACCACATTTGCACCAAGGTCAACTTTAATCTAACCAAACATGATGGGTGTAAACACAGGAATCAGTTGGACTGTACATTCACATGTGCTGTGTTTGTTTGTCACCTGCAGGTTCTGTATGCAAGTATTATAGGTGTAAATGAGAGAATAGGTTTTTCCATTCATATCAGCATTACGGTTGTCCTTAAGGGCTGGTTGTAACATAATACAAACAATAATAATAATTTGAACTTTATTGATCCCATATTTAGGAAATTCTTGTGTTTACAGCAGATCTGATGCATGTGCTTCCTAACAGGAGGACTGTAAACATGTAACTACTAGATCCATGATTCCCAACAGCTGAGCCACTAATTACTCATCCACTAGGTGGCAGTAGATGGCTGTAAACGTAATAAAAAAGACTTAAAAGACTTAATTTCTCCTAGTATATTAGGATTGTATTCAACTAAACAGCCCAGGGAGTAAGTAAATTGTAACCAACAGATCATTGTTTTTCTTTATATGTTGTTGGACCTCTTAATTTTGGTGGTGTTTTGATGTAATATATGTGCTTAGGCTCAAACACTGTACTACATAATGTATTGACATATCTGTGGCTGTATTCAAGAATATTTAATCGAGATACAAATATTGTACATTGTTCTGTGTTTTAACATAAATCTGTCAACAATTTCAGGTTGAGAAACCACAAATTATTTTCCATATACTGTGGCAGGAAAAGTGCGTTAATGAGGAACAAAGCTGTATGAACCAAATGCAGTTGTACTGTGACATGTTCTATGTGACAGAGTAAAACCAACTCCAGAATCTTTTACAATGTTTGACGCTCCATCCTCCTTAAATGTCTACAAACTACAGCGTTACATCACCGGCTGCGATGACAAAATCTCTTCCGTCACAGTTTGTACAACAGCTTAATCCTCACCTTTGGAAGCGCCTAGAATGAAGAGATTACGTCTGTTAAACCGGAAACACGGCGTTTTAAAGTTTCAATATAATGGCGCACTTTTAAACCATTCGAATGATGAGTAACAGTTAATACATTACTGTGAATCAGTTTGCTTTTACTGAATTTAATTTGCATACTTGCTTTTTTTGTTTAAATATGGTAATGCATGTTTTTAATTATATAATTGATTATAGCTCCCTGCGTTTCTCGCTACACACAACCCTAAGAAACTACACGAATTCATTTTATTTTGATAGAACGCATCCGTTGTACCTTTAAAACGCTGCATATGTTCTGTGTGGTCGCTAAGCTCATCTGTCCACAGTGATAAACTGCGGTCAGTCTGGCAGTGTTGAGTCCGTTGACGGTTTGATTTCCCCTGTTCTTATCAGTTAGTAGATGTTGGTTTAGTCGTGATAAATCCGTGCCTCTGCTGGATGACAATGATGACGATGATCTCTCCCTGGGAGCGATGGTTCTCCACCAGCTGCTGCCTCTGCTGCCATGTCCGCACAGGAACCATCATCCTGGGACTCTGGTACATGGTGAGCTCCAGTAACACCTCACCTGGTGGAACTGCTGACCCACATTATATTAACAATGTTTTGTAATAAGACTGTTAGTTCAACTCTTTAATGATGTCGTTTTTTCAGGAGTGTTGTACAGCATGGTCTTCAAAATATTTTGTTTTAAATTATTATATATTATATAAAATGTCATTAATTAAGAGTAGGATAATGATGTTTAACTATCTCTTTTCGATATTTTTTCGTTTTGTCTCTAGCTACGTCTAGCTTAACTTTGTTCATCAAAATCCATTTAATATTTTATAGCTCTTTCTAAGGCAATTTGTTGTTATCTTTTCTTAAATATTTAAATTAATGCTACTAGTTATGTTAATGCACTTGACACCTTTTGGCTAATATTGGTATATTTTGCTAATTTGTAAACATGTCTCAACTTACTTTTAGGCTTAATGATAAATTCAGCCTTTTTGGGTGGGATAGGTCTGGGCCAGGTATTAGCTTTTGATTTGCTTGTTTTGACCCTAGCAAAAGTTTGAATTTAATTTGAAATCATTTTGGGGGGAATGGTGAATTTGCTACCATTTTAAGAGTTTGTTAAGATCAATCTGTATATTTGGATATATCTACATTTGATGCCATCTTTTAGCTAGTTCTCACAAAATACAATTGTTTGCCCATTTCAGCTGTCTTGCTTTGGTTTTACTTACAGTTTATATTTACATTTTAGCAACTTTTGCCCAATTTTAATTTAATTCATGTTAGCTCATTTAAATTTTGGCCTTTTTTTTTGGCAAGCTAAGCCCACGGCTATATAAGACCCTTCACAGAAAATATGGTGAATCCCACATAATTCTTCATACACAGACTGTGTGAGATGATTATTTAGTTGAAAATCATGTCTTGTCCCATTAGTTTATTAAAATCCAACATGTGGAGATATCCTCTCTGCCCCTGTTCTTTATGAATAAATTATCGGTGAGCCTCTTCAGTTACCAGGGTTTTGTGTCAAGCTGTAAGTTGAAATCAGAGAAGTTTCCATTGCACTCACCTGATCAGTGGGGATAAATAAGTCAACTGCATAATGAGCTGCTCAGACTAGTCCTAAACAGAGGCCTGTTTATGATTGTCTCTTTTACTCATTGAAAGGGATTTATTTAAGTCACAGATTTACAGATTTTATTGCATAAAAAAGATTCAGCATCTTTCATACTCTATTCTTTGACCTTTATTATGGCCTTGCAATAATCTGACCATATGTGCTCCATCCCTAAGCTCATCAATGCTGTGGTGCTGTTTATCCTGATGACGGCTCTCAGTGATCCTGAGCAGTACCACCTGACCAGTGTTGAATTGGCTAATGACCTGGACGTCATGGATGATGCCAGTAAGTCCCAAATAGGGATGTAAACAATACTATAAGCAAAATGTAGGATAGCTAAGAATTGGCAAAAAACAGAAGGTACAATGTCTAAAGATGAGCTACAAATTAGGCAGGAATAAATAAAACAAAAAACAGTCAAACAATAGGCCAGAAATTTCACATACGCAATTGAAAATGCAGTAAAGATGACTCAACATTTAAGCATCCTAGGGAGCAGTCATTGCTGTCAGAACACCTGCATAACTCTGGAGTCTAACTTGACTTTTCCCATGTCTACAGACATGTGCATCGTCTCAGCCATCTCTCTGCTGATGATTCTCATCTGTGGGATGGCCACATATGGTGCTTACAAGGTAAACTGACAGTTGGTTATTTCTGACGTTTTTTTTTTTAAACAATTCTGAAGCTCACAACTAAGCATGTCACCCAGTCAAACCCATAATGAGCTGGAAATCACAGAACTTTTACAAATGTATGTGACTAACCTGACTTGTTTTATTGATATTTGGTCTGCTGCTACACACACACACACACACCTACACCTATTTTAAATCTGTTGTGAATATGGAACCTCCTGTGTCGTCAACCATAATCCCCTCCTGACCCAGTTTATGGAAGAATTCATGTCCACAGTTTTGGTGAAACACCTCATGAGCCTTCTCCTAAATAAACATCTGTGTTTCAGCTCCACGCTGCTTGGATCATCCCTTTTTTTTGCTATCAACTCTTTGATTTTGCTCTCAACACCCTGGTGGCTGTCAGCATTGTGATTTACCCCAACACGATACAGGACTACCTGCAGCAGCTGGTGAGAAACAGAAGCTTCTCTGTTGAAAGAGGTTTCTTTTTATTCTACACTCTAGAATCTTGTCTGGTAATTGTTAGGTCATTAATAGGTCGGCTGCGGTCTGGACGCGGACCCACACGCCCTCCTATTGTGATCCATGCCTGTGGCTAATTAAGTGTTGCAGTTTGTTAAACAATGTTATTGAGTGCAGCTAAGGCAAATATTATGAAAAAATTAAAAACAAGGAGCAATGTCAAACCACCCAATCAAATTTGTGCATTCAGAAAAGCAAAAATAATCTGTTTTTACTCTTTTTACTGTTTTTTTACTCTTTTTTTTTTTTAATCATGAGCCATTAGGTTGTTAGATATTATAATAAGGCTAGAAGTTAAGGAAAAGAAAAAGAGAATGTTTTTTATCTCTCAAACCAATCTCTTTATTTAAAGTTGTCTTAATTTTATATTGAAAACATTTTTTTCTTTAATTATGTACTGATTTAGTATTTTTTTAGTTGAACACATCCCTGATTTACTCACAGTAATTGAAGAAAGACAAACACAGACGTCGTCTTTAACAAATAATAGTAGTTTTCTGACCAATTAAGGAAAACTGGACTTTTCCATGGCACACCTGATGACCTCTCATGGTTCACTGGAGAACACAGTGACACTGTACTCATTGACCAAACCAAATACTTGTGTAACAAAAAGCTTGATGTTACTAAAATTGATTTACTGGGGTACATAGCTAAAATAAAATAGCTAATGGTTAGCTGCTGGGTTAAGTTCACTTTTTGGGTGTAGCCCCTATATTCTTGCTCTTTAAAACATGCATCAGTGTTTTGTTTGGTGCTATTTTTTTTCTTTTTTCTTTATTATTACCAGCTGCATTTAGTTAAAACGTTTTTTTGTTCTCTACCAAAATATATTTCTAAGGCTCCTTTTGTTTTTCTGACTCCTCAGCCTGAGAACTTCCCCTACAAGGAGGAAATTGCTGCTCTTAGTGATCTCTGTCTGGTGCTCATGGTTCTGGTCTTCATAGGCTGTATTCTTTCTTTCAAGGTAACATTTTCTCTCTTCAATATCATTTTTTCTCTCTTTGTTCATGGAAAGTTGAATTAGTGACACATGAAAAGCCCATGGGTGTTTAATAAACAGAAACACCAGACTTCTCCACTGTATATCTGAGATATCTCCGGTTACTGCACTCAGGTGGTAATTAAAAATGCAACATCCGTGGTGTCTGGTGTTGAAATAATTCATGTTGTCTAATCACTGTCACTGTCAGGCAGCTTAAAGCTGGGTCTGACTAATGCTAATGTTAGTGCATGGATACATTAATGTAGCAGATAGATACATCATTTTTAACCAAATACGAATGCAAATTGAACTTAATCTGCTGCGAAACACGTCTCAAAAAAGAAGGTTTAGTATTAAGGTAAATGCATACTATTTTTAATTTGTCTTAAAATGTTTGAAATTTTTCATAACAACTTGGAAATCTCCTTGCTGAATTCGTACTTTTTGAACTTGATGTTGGTGTTGGTGTGAACAGATGTTCTATTTTAGTTTCCACAAAATAAACAAAAAATATAACAAAACAGTTAAAGTCATGCAATTGTTTAAGACTGTACCAGCCTAATTGATTGTATTGTTATCTTTGACACTTATTTTAACGATAATGGGATAATAATGCAAACATGTTTTTTTCTTTGCTGAAAACTAATAAATATTCTTCATTGTCTCTTGTGTTCTTGTCTGAACCAGGCCTACCTCATCACATGTGTGTGGAACTGCTACAGATACGTGAACGGCCGAGGATCTTCTGAAATTCTACTCTATGTGACGACCAACGACACCACTGTGAGTCACTGTCTGTTAACCTTCAGTGGCGATATGATGATGTGTGTGTTTATCTGAAGTCAGGTTTTTAACTTTATGCTAGGACAGTGAAGGCATCACTTGGACTACAAACATTAGCCTCTTATGTGCAGGGCATTTGCATTTTATTCAAAAGAGTTTAGTTTTACTACCTTTAGCAGAAGAATGCATATTTGACCCAAAGGAAAACTGCAAGGTCTAACAGATCTGGGGATTCCATTTGTCTTTAATTATTCACAAACTCACCATGTTGACCTGAAATTGCAGTTTTTTCATGTTTTAACTGAAGGGACATTCCTTTTAGTTTTTCTTATCTTCATGTTTTGTTTTCTAGGAAGCTGCTCTATGACAGATTTAATTTATTTCCTGTCCCACTAGACCACCGACCCACCCGCTGGTTTCCACCTTAGCTTTAAATACAAATCTTTCATATGATTGAAACATGTTTCTTTTCTATGACAGAATTCAAAACATTTTTTTTACAGTTACAGTGTTACAGTACAGTATCATCCACTCTGCTAAAAGCTAAATATTTCTTCACATATTCTTATCACACACATAATCAATAAATCCTTCTGCTGCTTGTTTACATTGGGATCCAGAATTCCTCCCTGAAACAGTGTCTGGTTTTGACTCAGTGCTTTTTGTTACACTTGTCAACGCAGCCAAACATGTGGAGTGGAAAAAAGATTTCCTCTCATTCCGTCCAGACATAGAGAGGAAGGAAGTAGAACACTAGTAGTTTGATCCAAGTCAGAGGAATGAGGAGAGATGAGACTCAGTGTTAGTGCGGTCATGTCTGTCTCTACTGTTGTCTCTCCTGTCTCTGTCTCATATCCGTGTGTGGCTCTTGCACCACTGCTCTCATGTTGCTCAAATGCGTCATCACTAAAACATAAAGGTAAAAAGGAGAGCCACGCTCAAAGCTCTCAAAGAATGTTTTACCTTTGAGAAATATTTTGTATTATGTCCAAACAGTTCCTTTTAATGTGTCTATTTTGGCACAAATCTCAAGCAGGTTTTGGTCTGCTTTTGGATGAATGACTATTTTAACAGTAACAATGAGTCTTCATTCCTTGCTAACCTTTAGTTATTATTTTAGATAACCTCTAGTTATTGTTAAGTATCACCATACTGTAGCTATTTACTTTCACATTGGTTTTGCAACAGTTTTCTATTCATTTCTAGTGACGTGAAGTTTGAAGGTTAATAAATATTTGAAGTTAATTTTTCTGGGATCAACTGCTCATATTTGACCGTATCTGTTCAATAATCTCTATATTTTAAATTAAGCTATCTATTTCCTTATAAATAAATAAACTTTTATGTATTCATTAGGAAATATGTTTACCTCAACTGGCAGCTGAGCTAAACTCCTCCCAGTGTAACATTCCACACCATCTCAAACAATCCACTACCCTGCAGCACTTTACTCTGCAGAGCGTAATGAGTTTGCAGGTTCTCCCAAACAGAACACTCCACACAGTTCCTAATGTGTAAAACACCTGAGCAGTAAAGAGAGAAGCTGGAGGCCACGCTGCAAAAGACTGACATCATTAGTGAAAGGTAGCAGGGAAAACAGACTCTGCCTCTTTACTCCCTGACATTTGCTTCACCTCTGGGGTTGTGCTTTTCCAGTCAGTCATATTCTATCAGAGCTCAACAAACATCACAAGTCTCATTTGTAGCATTTGTAGCTGTATCCCAGATATATTGTGGTTCGGTTCCAGGGTTGACTGAAATGTTTCACAGGAGCTCATCTTGTTTTGAGTGAAAATTACAGAAGAGACAGGGAACAATTACTTTTTAAATACAGAATTCATTTGTGTATATTTTAGTTTTCCAGAAAAGCCTGTACCTCATAGAAGACTGGAAAAGTAACATGGCGGCCTGCATTCAGCCTGCGGGTGACTGGAAAAGTGACATGGCGGCCTGCATTCAGCCTGCGGGCCTTAAGTTTGACACGGGCTGTACCTGGTCTTTAGTTGTCTTTTGTTCATTGGTGGTGGTGTTCCACCAGTTTTAGTCTTAAAAATATATTTCCTTATATCACAGTGGATTGTGTTACATTTTGTTGCTTTATGTTGCATAACATAGTGTTACATTTAATGGCGTAATTTAACATGAGCTTATATTAGGCTACATTAAATTGGATTAAGTTACATAAGGTTACACTGCATCATGTTATATGTTTCACATATAGTTATGTAAATCTGAACTATAAAATGTTCAGAGGAGCATCCCAGGCCCTTTGGCCAACGACTTATAACAGATGCTGTGTTGTTGTCTGCTACCAATACTCTTGAAACTTGATTTGCATCTCTACTCTCCAGGTGCTGCTGCCTCCGTACGATGACAGTGTCAGTGTTCCAACAAAGCAGACTCCTCCACCTCCTCCTCCTCTTCCTTTTCCTCCTCCTCCTCCTTACATCACTGCTGCAGCATAAAAAAAAACCCCTGGATGCTGCTCCCAGACCCAGAGGAAATAGAAGCACCATACTGCCTGTCATATAACAGTGTGTATTTACCAAACTCTCACCCACAGTATTGCTCATTCACACACACACACACACACACACACACGTATTAATGTGTTCCCCCAAGTGATGTTATTGTTTCCTGGTATTTATTGTTGAAAACATATTTCTTCCATATTGTTTGTCTGTCATCACTATTATTACATACAGAATTATCTTTTTATGCATCTGTAAAAATAAAAATTTGGAAGAGAAGAATTTGGTTTGTTGAAAAGGATTCCATATATTTTTTATCTGTGTTTATCTGAGATTGTATTTTACCTTAATATTAATATTGAACATGTGCACATAATGATGGTAATGAATCAGAAGTATTTGTGTGTTTCTTGATTGAGATTGAACTGACTTTTGTGATGATTCTCTTCTGTGATGACATGCACTTTACTGATCTGCGTGTACATTAGTGTCACCTGGACTGGACATTTCTCCCAAAGAACTGCCTCTAATTTGACATGATTTGAAAAATGAAAAATGTTCTTATATATATATATATATATTTAAAAGAACTTCTTATTCTGTCATATTCTCCTGCAGCTACAGGTGGTTGTCTGTTATAATCATCAGGAGTTTGGGTTGTCTTGGTTTCCTGAATGAATGTATGTTTCTACTGAAATGTCAAGAACTGCTGTTTATCTGTTTTGTCAGTGCAGACGTGACGCTGATCTGGAATCAGTTGGTCTTTAAAGTCAAAGTAAAGCTCTGAATGAGTCCATTGTGGGAATCTTTTGTCTAGACTCTAGAATCAGCCTCTTTGCAGTTAAGAAGCAGAGAGCACTTCTGTGTTTTTTTAGTTATGGCCAGTAGATGACTGTCTGTCTCTTCTTCATATGGAGTTGTGTTGGCAAACGGAGAGCTGATGTAAAAGGTCCTGTGAGGACACACGAGTCAAAGCTGGACACTGCTGCTGCTGGATCATGATGTTATGGCATTTGTTAGTCCAATTAAAAACAGATTGTAATGAATTGTTGTTCTTTCTTCTTTTCTTTGTCATATTATTTGTTTTATTTTAATTATAGTTTTACTTATTACTAGGTTTGTTTTTTCCACACCTTGAAAACAACAGATCAGATCAGAATAGAATCCTGAATAATCTTGTGTTGTTTGTTATATATTTTAAACTGAGTTGTAGTTTTATTTGATCTGTTGTTGTTGTTTATATTTTTACTAGTGTCGCTTTGTCTTCTGAATGGTGCAACATATGTAATAACAATAATACCAATTATAACTATTATAATTTTTAAATACTTATCATAGCGACTATTAGTTTCCGAAGTACAATTTTTATTTTTCTCTACATTTTTCAACAGTATCTGCCAGAATATAAATATTAAATATGAAAGTCATAAGAAATACTGACAAAAAAGGTTCCGGTTATAGTCATAAATGTCCTGACTTTTAATAGTTTTAAGTTTGAGTGCCAGGTGAGTTTTACGTAACTATACATATCTGTCCACTTGCCTCAGGCCTAGTTGAAAGTGAAGGAAAATCCACAGAGCAACTGTTTTACCAATAGCAGAACAAGAGGCGTCTCTGTGGTTGAAGTGAGAGGGGGAGTGAAGAGAGAAGCAGAGAGTAGATGGAGTTAAAAGCAGAGCAATCACCCATTTGCATGTTTAACAGGTTGGAGCTACAGATCAGACACTGTTCTCTGCTGGGGAAATTATTTACACTTTTACAGTTTTGGAAATTTATGCCAGAATTCAACACCTTAAGCTGAGGATATTGTAATTCTCCAGAGCAAAGAAGGTAAGTGCTGTATGTTAAATCTTACATAAGCTGGTATGATTTTAATGAGATCTGCAGACTTAACTTGCATTAATGTACATATTTCAGGAGAAAATCTATTTTCACAACTTCAATAGAAATGAAATCCAAACTTGTTTGTTTTTACTTCTGATCTAAGTTATGAAACAATGTGACTTACATAAACCATCATGAAAAGCCATTATGGATGATGCACTAAACAGAGATCAAGATCCACCAATCGGAACATGCTTTTTTGGTGTGTGCTAGTAAACAAACTCTCGGAGAAGGTTTGTGTTCAAATAACTAAGTCCCTGGAGTTATGTGGCTTATTTCCTCTGAAACTACTTGGACTTCAGGTAGAGTATCGTAGAGCAATATCACAATCATCAGAATACAATATTCTAATAAGCTCAGAGCTGGAAACACGTGGGCAGAGAGGCATCAGATAGAGATATGAGGTCAGTGATCAGGAGCTGTGTGTGGGACATAACATGGATCTGTGACCCCCGAGAGCCTCAGGTCAGCAGCTACCAAACACACAGATCTGATCATCTGCAGGAGCTGCTGACACCACACAACATGCACCAGTGTCAGCATCATCAACAGAATCATCTACCGTTGAGTCTTTATGAATTGATCACAGGAAAGTTTCAGAGAGGACGTTTCTCGATGCACTAATGTCTCACCAGGGGACTGGCTAGAGAAACAGAAACAGCAGCCGCTCATAAATCACATGACTCCAGCTGTGCTGCAAAACATCTTGGAAACTCATGCCAACAGACATTATAAGATGGCAAATAAGGACACAAGTTATAAAATCCTTTTCTCAAGTCCTGGGACATGTTGTGTGTTAGCAACTACACACCAACACCTGAAATCTGAAGCTGGACAGGTCAAACATGCCAGAGGTGAAAGTTCTATCTATTAATATCTCTTTTGGCCATTAACTTAAATGAAGCACTTCCTGACACAGACGTTGTCTCTGCACCAGAGAGATGATGTTTTTAGTTATGAATGGCCAACCTGAAAAACAAACACCAGTGAGCCTGTGAGTACTACTAATAAGTAGTAATACTACAACATAATTATTTGATCCACTGTAAATTCACAGGAAAATAATTGGATCAAAACTAAGTGTAAGGTGCAGGACCTTAACCACAGAATAACACAAATGCTATTCTGTGGTTAAGGTTGACATTATGGCAAACATTAATTTTATTTACATTTGAATTATCTACGGTTGTATTTAAATTATAGATCTGAGTATCTGAAAATCCTTCCGTTTTTTTTTAACGTGACTGAGCATGGATAAAATAATAACATATAAAACAAATTACCTAATGAAATTTGTGCTTCTCTTTGATGGTAATGGTTTAAAAAAAATCTATGTATGTAATTTGTGATTAATACTTTGTAAACCCTGCATTTTATAATTCACCAAATTGTATTTTCAATTCAGATGAATCTTTCAGGTGTGATTTGAAAGCCCTTCTTTGAACACTACCATGATGCTGTTTTGACCTTCATATACAGTATAACAGCTTCTTTGCAGGGTGAGTCTTTCTTTCATCATGTTTTTCCTCTCTCTATAAACACTGCAGATATCACCTCTTCTCAGAATGAGGTTTCTGGCCTTCAGTCTTGTCTTAATGGCATGCTGTAGTGCTGTTCGGTTTGAGAGACGTCGTTTCAGACCCTTAGTCCTTAGGAGGCAAAATGTGACTGCAGTTCAAACCAAAGTCGGTGAGTAACTTTAATATTGCCTGCATTCCTATCTAAGAGGTGAAGTTAAAATGGAAATATATTTTGTTGACTCATCACATCGTACATGTATTCTTTTCATTACAGAGAACCCTTGCAAAGCCATTCCTCTGGACTTTTTCTTTGTCATTGACAGTTCTAGAAGCATTCGCCCTCATGACTACGAGAAGGTCAAAACCTTTATCATCAATTTGCTTCAGTTCCTGAAGGTTGGACCTGATGACACCAGGGTTGGACTGCTCCAGTATGGCAGCATTGTCCAGCCTGAGTTCTCTCTCAAAACCTATTCCACCAAGGCTGAGGTGGAGCAAGCAGTGAGGAACATGGAGCACCTCGCCACAGGGACGATGACTGGTCTGGCCATTCAGTACACCATGGAAACTGCCTTCACGGAGGAAGAAGGAGCACGTCCAGCGAGTTTTAACATCCCACGAATTGCCATGGTTGTGACTGATGGAAGGCCTCAGGACACAGTGGAGGGGATTGCGGCTGAGGCAAGGCAGGCGGGGATCCAGATCTTTGCTATCGGTGTAGGTCGGGTGGACATGAACATTTTGAAGGCTATTGGGAGTGAACCACACTCGGAGCATGTGCACCTGGTGGCCAATTTCAGCCAGATAGAAACACTCACATCTGTGTTTCAGTCCAAACTTTGTGGAGGTATGGAATGACAGCCTTTATATATTATATATATTTATATATATATATATATATATATAGTATATGTTTTTAGGCACGAATTTGAGTCGATGCACCGTCTGTACTGTATTTCTACATGCGTCAGGTTCAGAGGTGTGTCAAGTAGTGGACCATCAGTGCCAACATATCTGTGTGAGCAGCCCTGCTTCATACAGGTGTCAGTGCAGAAAAGGCTTCGTCCTTAACCCGGATGGAAAGACATGTAAAGGTAAAGGAACATTTCTTTCTTTATTTCCTTTAAAAAAAGTAATATAAATATAAAGTAAAATGGGCTAAAAGCACAGGATAATTGGAGGAGATTCCAAAGCTCGCCCTTTGATTGGCTGGCAGCACCTGTTGTAATAACGAATTAACAAAATGACGGCCGATACTTTTGTTGTGCTTGGGCTACTTGAAGTCGCGAGTTCTGTCGTTTGTTTTAGGAAGGGTGGAACACATTTTTATTTCTTGTTTGATTTAGTTGAGTAAAGCAAAGTATTTTGGTTGTTTGGTGTCACCTAGCTTGATTTGTTTTGTAAGTCAACGAGACAATAACGTGTGTTCGCTGAACCTACTTAGTCCCAAGTAAGTTTAACATCATCTAAGCCTTTTGAAATGGAAAGAGCATGCACGTTGATTTGTTGATTTGAGATTTTAGACACAGTTGATCAGATACTGGCTAAGTTAACTTTCTTTATTTTTGTACCATTAACTGTGCTTCACAAAAAGGATAACGTTCTCTACATCCTTAAATTACTTTACAATTTGTTAATGATACGCGCAAAAGAAATTGTAATTGTCGCGTCTCTACCACTCGATCAGCTGGTCAAAAGTTGTCTATAAATTTACAAATGTTAACTAGCGCCTGCAGCTAGAAATTATTCTGTTTGCTGCAATTGCAGTTAAGATCCCTAAAACACTGATCAGTCGCTTTCCACACTTGCAGAGCAGAGAGCAGCGGGCTAACACCAGGTGTCTCAGCCATTTTTTATGAACAGCTGAGAACATCACATGCAGTATGATTTCAAAAATCATATTGTGTACAAACTAGCAATACCTTGCTGTATTTTCTCTTTTACACCGTTTATGTATATTTTGTAGAGGTTGATCACTGTGCTGATGGCAGCCATGGCTGTGAACAGGAGTTCATGAACACTGAAGACTCCTGTGTGTGTAGATGCAGAGAAGGATACACACTGAGAGAGGATGGGAAAACATGTCAGGGTGAGTGTTATTGATTTCTCGTACAATCACCTTTATAAGGTGATCCCAGCCAGGCATTAATAATATGAATAATAATGTCTAATAATATCAGCCTACCAATATTATTGGCCAGATATTAGCAGAATTATGTAATATCTGTAAGAATCATTATTGGTTTTTCCTTCAATAATAAAAACTTGATAACGAAATGCCTGGTTTTCGAGATATGTTTTGGGGAAAATGGCAGAATATAACGCAAATTATTTGGACAATATCGGCATATCGAATATCGGGAAAAAGTTTATGCTGGACATCCATAATAATAACAATAGTAATGATATAATAAATTCATTTTTAATAAAACATTGTCTTAGGTTTATGTGAATATGCAGGCTGTATTTAATATGTGACATAATCTGGATTTATTTTCTTCTTTTTCCTTGCTGTTACTCAGTGATTGATCACTGTGCTGATGGTACCCATGGCTGTGAACAGGAATTCATTAACACTGAAGACTCCTGTGTGTGTAAATGCAGAGTAGGATACACACTGAGAGAGGATGGGAAAACATGTCAGAGTGAGTGACCTTCTGTCATAAAAATATTTTGACAATTATTTATTTAAAGAAATAGAAATATGAGATGTATACTCAGACAGGTGGCAGCCATTGGTCAATCATATGCTAAATTTTTGTATATATGTATTACCTCTAAGTTTGACAATATTTTAAAAAAATAGTTTGTGTTCTGATAAATTATGGGTATCAATAGACACCTTAAATTATAAACCATTCCAAGTTATGTGTTTTTATAGCCCTAACTATAGAGAAATCTTTTAGCTTTTTATATTTTTGTAAAGTTTCTGGTCCACATGGCTTTGCTTTTGCAAATGTAGAGCTGTCAGTTGAAATAAAGTGACACAGTACAAATGAGTACTGTTATAAAATCATGCACATCTAAGTAAAATGACAGACATCACTATTTTATTTATTTTTTTGGTATTTTTGCATTTACTGTTACTCAGAGGTTGATCACTGTGCTGATGGCACACATGGCTGTGAACAGGAGTTCATGAACACTGAAGACTCCTGTGTGTGTAAATGCAGAGAAGGATACACACTGAGAGAGGATGGAAAAACATGTCAGAGTGAGTCACACGTTTTGTCTTTTGTTTTTACTTTTATCACCAACAACTTCAAAAAGGAAACCTGCTGATACTTTAGGACAGAGCCAATTAGGCAGATGTTTTGTGCCTTTTTTAAATTATATATTATGTACAATTAAAAATATATATATTTATAGATGTCTCAACCTTTCTGTTGGACTGTTTTGCTACTCACCAGCCAATCCTTAGTCATTTATTTCCATCTAAACGTTATCACGATTTGGACGGAAACCCTTCCATTAAAGACCAGGGTCTAACAATTGGGACCACGATTCTCTGAGGAAAATGCCTGAAGCTTTATTGTCATAGGAGCTCCGTCTGTGACTTTGACTCTTTGTGACTATGGTAACCAGGTGGCTACATCCAGTTTGATGATGCTGTATTTGAAGATTCTCATTAACTGTTGCAGAGGTAGATCACTGTGCTGATGGCACTCACGGCTGTGAGCACGATGTTTTCAACTCTGAAGACTCCTGTGTGTGTAAATGCAGGGAAGGATACACACTGAGAGAGGATGGAAAAACATGTCAGAGTAAGATTTCTTTTTCTAAAGCTGCTGCTTCTTGTTATTCTTTTGGTGGCCTGCTCCAGGGTTTTCTTCACACACAAAAAACAGTTTTCTGGTCTTCCCCTCGTCCTGCTTGTGACATAGGTTGTCATCATTGTCCATTGTCAGTCCTCAGCATGCATCAAAACATCTCATCTTGTCTCGTATTTTATGTTCAAACATTTCAACCTCAGTTGTTGTTTTGAACAGCTCATCTCTGCCAGTGATGGTTCCTGCTTCCTCTTCTCCTCCACCTCAGCCTCCTCATCTTTGAGAGAGGAGGAGGAGAATAACCCATGTTATTAAATCCGTCATTACCGCAGTATTAATAGTACTTACAACTGCTGCATTATGTGTACAGTCTTTACTGGTTTAATTTTGTAGAATCTCAATGTTATTTTGAAGACAGCTTTATTACTGTCATACTGCAGCAGTTAAATACTCTATTTCAGTTTTTACTGTACTTATTTTGAATATTCTCCGCAGAGATCGATCACTGTGCTGATGGTACCCATGGCTGTGAACAGGAGTTCATGAACTCTGAAGACTCCTGTGTGTGTAAATGCAGAGAAGGATACACACTGAGAGAGGATGGGAAAACATGTCAGAGTGAGTCTAAATGAAACCACTTGAACGTAAAGAATGTGATGTACATTTATTTAAGTTAAAACAACAGTGTGGAATAAGGTAACAAGGGTTTGAGAAGTTGCGACAACAACAATAATGTTTTATTGATGAGCCAAAAATGTTTTGTTTTTTTATTACTTCATGATGACCAAATCCACCAACTCCAAATGACCAAATCATCAAGTCATCAAAACATTACTCATCTTCTGGACATTCCCTCACAGGTTTGGATCTATGTCAGACAGTGGACCACAGCTGTGAACATTTGTGTGTCAACACCAATCATTCCTACATCTGCAGATGTTTTGAAGGTTTTATTTTAGCTGAGGATGGAAGAAACTGCAAAAGTATGTCTAATTTAAAAACAACCTCCAAATATTACCTACCTTAAAAACTGTGTAACGTGATTCTGACGTGTTCTTGACAGAACTGGAGTGCAGTGATGGAATCATGGATCTGGTTTTTATCATCGACGGCTCCAAGAGCCTTGGCCCCGTCAACTTTGAGCTGGTCAAACAGTTTGTCAACAGCATCGTGGACTCTTTGGACATCTCCGCCACAGGCACACACGTTGGTCTGCTCCAGTACTCCACCAAGGTCCGGACAGAGTTTACTCTGGGCCAGTACACTACAGTACAGGGTGTAAAGCAGGCAGTGACCAGGATGCAGTACATGGGCAAAGGATCAATGACTGGATCGGCCTTACGTCACATGTTCCAGTCCAGTTTTTCTGCCAAAGAAGGGGCCAGACCTGACGTTCAGAGAGTCTGCATTGTGTTTACAGATGGAAGATCTCAGGATGACGTTTCAGAGTGGGCAGCTAAAGCCAAGAATTCTGGTATGATTATTTTACTTCAACAGCCTTATTCATTTTAACGAAATTCACACTGAGGAGTTTGTAACAATTTTTTTCCTGTAACTTCAGGGATCACCATTTATGCCTTGGGTGTTGGCAAAGCCATCGAGGAAGAGCTGAGAGAGATCGCTTCAGAGCCTGGTGAAAAGCATTTTTATTATGCTGAGGGTTTTGAGAAGATGGGAGAAATTACCAAGAAGCTGAAAAGCAGGATATGTAAAGGTAAAGCAGAACAATCCCTAGGTGAATGACAACCGTAACTGTCCATAACTACAACCCACTGTCATTGCTAGGTGAATATCAATGCTAGTGTTTGGTATATTTTAAACATATATCATCACTTAAACTAATCTGTGCCATTTCTTAAACAGAGATATGATAGTTTGACAGGTTTTTTTCAAAGATAAAAATATTTCGCATCTATTTTCTCCACAGAAAAATCCCCAAACCAGTGCCTGTGTGAAAACATAATCAAGTTTCAGAACCGGGTCAGTGAGAAGTTGATAAACCTGATGCAGAATAATATCCTTTTAAATAGAATTATGTTCTCAACATTTAGTTTTTTACCTGTGCCTTAACCCAGCAATTTGCCATGTTTGTCTGTTTCTTTGGACTATAATGTTATAACATCTTCTGTTAACTCCTTCACCTCTTTGGATTTGTTTTCCAACTTCTTTACATTATTAAACCAGATACATACAACCCTCGCAAAAACAAATCAGAAAAAAATATTTAAAATTGTACCGTAAGTAACTGCTCATTTGAAGTCTTGGTGTAAATGGTATATTTATTCTCATTTATATTCCTTAACCTGCACTTACTTGAAACCATATCTGAGAAAATGAAGACACTTGAATACCAACTTGTGCACAAATGAAATGAAGAAACTTGCTCATCTGCCTCTCCTCTGACCTCCAGCACAGCCAACACTGACTGTTTAATCCTGCACAGCAGGCTACGGATGTTGTTTTGTACACACTATGTATTCAATGTATATTTGTCTGTAACAGTGTTTATTACGGGTTGTCAAACGATGTTTTGTTTAATCACAGCGCTGGTGTTTGTTAATCATGATCAAATTGAATACTGACTACCCATGATTAATTGAGAAAAATCAACATCACACAAAATATTTTTCTGTATATTGCAGCAGGTACATGTATGTCAGCGTGATTAATCCAAATGATGGAATTAAATATGGAAAAATGTGCAAAAGTATAAATCTTCATAGAGTTGGTGGATTTTAGTCAGCTCTGCATTTTCTGTCAGTCTGTCAGTTGCACGTATTCACTGCTTTGTTCTCAGTGAGGCTGGTCTGACTCCAGCCATGTGTCTGACCTGATGATGGAGCCTCCTTGAACACATGTTGTGGAGGCTGGTACGATAAGATGGCATTTTAAGCTCAACATGCTTTGTTGAAATGAAAACTTGGATGGACAGTGGAATTATCGGACACACGATGAGTGTGAGTCCATCCATGTGTTAAAATATGTAATCTGAATTATTTAACTCATCAATGGAAATTATAAAATAAAATATCTCCTTAAAGCAAAATCTGACAAACACTTATTATAATAAAGTCAACTTTGTTACTGATTGTTGCAGTAACTGGTTCTTTCTTAACACTGTAAGCAGACCAGCGAAGTGGGCGCTGCTACACCACACATAACCACAAGGTGGTAGACCTTTTCCAGGGCCGCGCATGGAAGGGGAGGGGACACGCACTCACTTGGAGCACATGTGCCTGCTCCTTTATCTGTGTATGAATAGAGAGCGTGATCGGAGCGAGTGAAGGGACACTCGGCTGCACTGACTGCTCTGCTCTGCTCTGCCCTTTGCTCACAACAGATCATTATCTGAGCCCAGAGACCAACAGGCCATGTATAGACTCAGTCAGGGAGACTTGGTGTCCAGATAGGAACTGAGCTGCCTTTAGTTTATGTCAGTGTCACAATCTGTGCTAAAAACAGAGCGTTAGGACTGCATTTCTCTGAAAATCTTTTGTTTCTCCGATCTGGGGTTTTGTTTTATCTCCTAAGGAAACCATGGGGTGCTCCTCGTCATCTTCACAGTCTGTTGATCAAGAGAAAAGACCAGGAGTGAAACCAGAGGGGACCAACGGAGAGGTACCAGGTAAGATTAGAGCATTGTTCAACTGTTCATTATTCTTGACTGTTTAGGAATATTCACACTTTTATGTGTACTTAGTACTGTAGTAGTACAGCCTCAGAAGTTGCTGTAACTTTCTGAATCAGTTCTCAGGGAGTGTGAGTGCAGCGGGAGGACTCCTCTGGTACACTGTGTGCTTTTCCACTCACTGACTGCTGCACAGAACATTGAGCTAATTTTCTGAACACCAAATGAGGCCATTAAATGAGGCTTAATTATATGATCTATTTTATCTGCTGTGGTTTAAAAAAAACTTCACAGAGACTGGTTTTGCAGAGACAGAATGCAGCTGTTAAGAAAGTTAGGCTTGATAGTCAGCTGGAATGGCCTAAAGGTCAATTTGCAACCTGAGGTGGTGAGATGTGACCAGACCTGTTTGCTGTCATGTCACATTACTTAAACCAAAGGTGTGTGTGTGTGTGTGTTTTGCTCAGGCTCCCACTATGGCTCCAACAACCCTCTTTGTAGAACATGGTTATGTCATCCACAGCTGCATGAACAGTATGTTCTGAAACCACCAACCCCTCCTCTTCCACATACATGCACACATGCATACAGTACATACATGATATCTGCATCGACACGTTTCTTGGTCCATGTTCTTTCTCTGGATCCAGTTCAGTAAGTGTGCTAAACTGGATTGTTTGTTAACCAATGTGTCCATCTAACATCAGAGCAACAAACAGCACAAACATTCTTGAGTTTTGACATGGAACAGAAGTTTGTTTGTTTCAAAAATGACAATAGAAAAGTTCCTGTTCAGAATACAGACAGGCACAGGGAAAAAACATTGTCTTAATTGATATATATTTGAATAGATTTTTCCCAATTAATTAGAGAGCAATGGAACATTAAAATCAACATTTTGTTTTAGCACAGGAGTTTGTCCTGTCAGCATACACGCCAACAGTTTTGTTAAAACAAACCAACTGGGTGCCATGCCGTGGTCCCTTCCTCCCTTTCTTCCGCTCCTGCCCAGCTATGCCACTGTTTAGACTATGGTCCCTATCAGGTTTGGCTGTTGGAGCGTGTCAGACATGTCTGGAGCAGCTGCAGCATCTGCCTCATTTCAGACATAACATTTTATACACGTTATACTCGAGACTTTATCATCAAGACCGACTGAAGGTTAGAGTGATTTAAAAGTTCTTCACAGTGAGATTTAAAACATAGTTTTTTGTTTTTTTTTCTGAAGCCTAACACTTCAGGCTTTGGTGCAGTGAGAGAGGTCATCTGGTCAGACTGTCACATTCCCTTCCACCCATTACTCTCAACTCTGTTCACTTCTTCTGACAGAAACATTATATCAGAAAACTGCGGTGTCTAAACTTGTCCTGTTCAGCTGACTGACTCTCTCTATCCCCATATGCCAGCTGTGTCTCGTGCTGCTTTTAGTTCAATAACAACACAAATCAGAACCTCTTGGGTTATTGCTGCACTTGTGGGAGACATGTGCAGCTCCCGGCATTTAAGATTACAGGAAATAGGAAATGATGAATGAAGAATCTTGGAAAGCAGCAGAAAGTCATCGTCAGGGCATTTTATTTCCGTTGACTGTGACTTGAATGTCCTCAGGGCTGCAGAAATCACAGGCTTCAAATATCTACACATGTGAGGAAATGAACAGTGTTTCTCAGGGCATGGGTTCTGTCTGAACCTCTTTTCTCATTTCCTCACTGCGTCAGGGTCAACCTCAGTTTTCTTTATAACCTTTTCTGTTTCATGGAGTTAAAATAATCAACTGTCATGGATTCACTTTTGTGCTCAGAAGGCTCCACACAGTTTACAACTGATTTGGATAAGTCTTCTAAAGAGCAGTTGGCGATTGTTGACATATCATTCCTCCCTGTTACAGATTAACGCAGCACCACCACCTGACAGAGCTGAAGAGTGAAACAAGATTTCAGTCATAAATCCTCAACAAACTGTTGTTGTTTTTGTCTCCACAGTGCACAAAAATGGTTTCATCAAAGAAGATGCTAAATTAATTGAGGACCAGATGCAGCTGCCAGTGCAGAGTGCTTTACCAGATGATCTACAGCCAGGCACCAATGAGGAGGCTGAGGCAATACTACGATCCCTGGAGGCCCAAGAGGGTCTTGGTTCTGGAGAGGATCTCCTCCTGGCCACAACGGGATTAGAGGTAGAAAAGGAAGCTGTTGAAGAGCTAGCCACTGAGGCTTTAGAGGCAGCTCCATCAGAGATTCCAGAAACTTCAGCATCAGCTTCATCAGCAACCCCAGAAGTTCAAGCAGAAGTTCCAGGAGAGGTTCCAGCAGAGGTTCCAGCAGAGGTTTCAGCAGAAGTTCCAGGAGAGGTTCCAGCAGAGGTTCCAGCAGAGGTTTCAGCAGAAGTTCCAGCAGAGGTTCCAGCAGAGGTTTCAGCAGAAGTTCCAGCAGAAGTTGCAGCAGATACTCTAGAGGTTCTGGATATAACTCCTGAAGAGACTCTAGAGGTTTCATCTGAAACTCCTTCAAGGCCTATAACAGAAACTGTAGAAGCAGTAGTAGAAGCTATAGAAGAAGCCCCCATGGTTGAATGTGCTGCAGATGTTGTGGACGTCCCTGTGGTGCCAGCTGAGGTCCCTCCTGAAGACAACACTTCTGTTGTAGTGGAGGCACCAGTGGTTGTAGAAGAGGCAGCGACAGCAACTGTAGAGCCTGTCATGACTGTGTTGGATACTGAGATTGCTGCAGCAACTGTTCCTGATATGCCTCTGATATGTCCTGTCTACGTGCAAGCTGAGATGCCTGTTCCTGAAAAGACCTCAGAACCTCCTGCAGCCTCGACTGAAGTTGCTCTAACAGCAGATGCAGCCTCTTCCACAGAAGTCATTCCAGCTGCGACTCCACAAGCTCCAGCATCAGAAGTAGCCACTGAAATATCTCCAGCATCTTTGACCGCTGAATCTGACGATGGTGCAGTCCCAGTTCAGGAGCCTGAGGTTGAAAACAGTCCAGCAGATTCTGAGGCCATGTCAGCACCAGCTGCTGAATCATCAACTGAAGGTATGTCTCAGGATCAATGTATACAACATCTACACCGTGAAGGAGAAGAAAAAGAAATCAAACAGAACTCCTTTGTTCACTTGCTCTAGTGTTGTGTGTGTTTCTGGAAGAAATGAGACACACATTCTCTGGTGTTAAAATGTAATGAATGATACAGTATAATACTATAATATTGTAGTATAGGTTTAATAAACCACTAAGGAGCTGCAAACTTTGAAAAAATCATCTTATCAGATTACTGATGTCCCATTATTAGTTTTATTTTTGACCTTTTGTTGAGCCAAGTACCTAGTCCATTGCTCTCAGGCACTTTATTCCCCAGGGTTGAAGGGTTAATTCCAGAAGACAAACTTCATTGCGTGTATACTGTATATGTCTGTTCAGTATATGCACAACGGCAATTAAATTAAAAGGAATGAATATTGTTCCTTGACTTGGCGTTGTTTCACATCATAGCTGTTGTGCTAACTCAGGCTTTACCAAGTCACTGCTCATTACAAAGGCATTAAAGTCAAATTCTGACAGGTCATAAGTGGATGTTTAATGCAGTGTCACTAATGGCTGAAACGTCTGAAGAGTTCACCGGTGTTAGTCGACAAACATTACCATGATTAAAACGAACAGACAAACAACATCCCAGTCTGAGTAGCCTCTCTATCATCCAGTCAGACAAGACACACTTTAACAACTTCTGCTGTGCCGTCAGTGTCTAGGCAGGTATCCAACACAGACTTGATAAACAGTGACTTGTTCTTAGTCTACGCTTGTAATCTTCTGCGATTGGCTGCTGTTGACATAATCCGAATCAGCAGTAGTTGTTGGGACTGGACTGATAACGTAATGTGTGAAGCACAGAATGCAGCCATACACACTCGGGTCTTGAGTTTGTCCATTATGGCGCTAACATTTTGTCAGCACAACAGCTCCAGTCACGTAACACTTGTTCATTGTGCTGTAACGTGAGCTCACAACACGGTCATCGCCCCAGCATCTAACTGCTTTAAATCCAAGTAAGACTGCAGTTCAGTCACCACGAACACCTCCGGGTGATTTAGAAATGCATCAGACTGGTCTAAGACAACACAACACATGGCATTTGAATTCAAGATTAAGTTAAACAGTCTTTCTTTACCTGTTTTATGTCCCATACTTTTATAAAGTACTTTTTTGCATTAGGTTTAATGATGGTGAAGTAAAATAGCAATTTTTAAACGTCAATCTTTATTTCTCTCCCTTTAAAATACAAAGCAGGTTGTTATTTTGTTGTTGCTAAATTTTATTATTTTTTTTTAGCCTATATATTTTGACCTGGGCTATATTTTTGCTTTTTAATTTTAGGCCATTTTTATCCATACTTGGTAGGTTTAGCTTTTTTGGCTACATTTTAGGAAGATTTCTACTTTTGAAGACATTTTATTGCTCAGCTGTTGATTTTGCCTATTATAACCCATACTGTATATGCTATGTAATGTTATTTCTCTGTTTGGTTGATATTTAGCTGTAATGATTTGCAGAAAAAATGCTATATCCCTAAGTTTTCCAAACTAAACTTTGGGCTGAGTTTATTTGACTTATAGAAATCAGACTTGTGTATAAACAATATTTTTTTTCTACTCCATTTGCATATTTTCTTTATTTTTTGAGCATCTTCTGTTTATTGGGGCACTGCTGGTCAGCTGTGCTGAGCTATGCTGTGCCAGGAGCAGCACATCACATTTCCCTGTTATGTGTGAACTCACCATCATCTGGAACATGTTGTACTTTTAGGACAGAAACGCCCCCTTTTTCAGGGCAGCCTGTGTGAACTGCAGCTCTGGTTGGGAGGGTCTCATGAAACCTTAATGGTGGTTGTTATTTATCCATAGGCTGTGTTTAATGCATGGCAGAGCAATGCCACACAGTGCACTGTGTGTTCAGACAGTAATAACCAGTCATTCTCTGACTGTCTCTGTGGTTGTTGTTCCACTGGTTAAGTCATCAACCTCATAGTGTCTGCAGTTGAAAGAACTAGAAAGACATGCATTGATTTTTTCTGTCTTTCTGTGTGTGTTTGTTTCCTTGTCTGTGACAGAAGCTTCCCAGGATGCAGAGAGCTAGAAAAACAGACGGCAACTGGGTTTGTAAGGCCACAACCACGCACCACACTACACCCATTACAAATAATGAAGGAACACACAGGCAACACAGGATTTCCCATGTCCATTGGCATCATCCAGCAGAACCACGCCAAATGTAATGGACTTAGCTGGTTAAAAAAACACAACAAAAACATTACCTTCTTTGTCGGACACTAATAAGTATACATTTACACATATAAATATTAATAATAATAATAATAATTTCGATAATTATTATTAATAAAATGATTTACTCTAAAAGAGCACCGTAATGATCTGTGTTTCGAATGTACATTGTGTTTTATGTTTCATTAATATCTCTTTATTTTTCAGGTGAAGTACACAGATCACAGATGTTCAGCTCTTCTCCAGCTACAGATGCAGCGTGCACCAGGAAAAGGCAGGACAACGTGACACTACATTCACAGTATTCTCCCATTAGTTCTTGCTGATGGGAATGGTTGACAATTAAATATGCACGGCTTCTCAATTATTTAATGTTTACTTTAAGATTTTTTAGTCTATTTTCTGTTAATCTGTTAATAATATGAAACTGTTATGACTTTTCTTACTGATACATAAAGTGCCTGAAGGCAATTTCAGTGCCAAAAACAACATTTTGCACAGGTAAAAATGGGATGAGACTGATATAATAATACAAGGTGACATTGTAAACTTGGCAGTGTGTTGATGTGTGGAGATTAATTCTTACAATATAGGATTTTTAAAAATGTATGTATCTTTTTAGGGGAAAACAAGCCTGACAGAACTGTGAAAGGTAATATGCAAAAGAATGAGGTGAAAACCAAAGTGTCATTTTAACAGAATTATTATTATTTTCTTGTTACATTTTTCATCTTTAATTTACACTTTAATCTGGTGTTTACTCATTACTTCTACGGCTTGTATATAAATAATAGTAGGTAATAGGTCCTGAGAGTAAACTCCTGCTAATGAAACAAAGTCCTTGAGAGTGAGATTATTTCTGACATTTCTTAAACATTTTTTTGTTTTAAAGTTGTGGGTAAGTTAGTTGAAGGGGTTTAAAGTTGATACTGAAACAAACTGGAAATAATGATGTAGTGAATCATCACTCAGATTCATTGAAGTTGTTTGATCTCATTTCACGTGGACAGCCAGTGGTATAATAATCTCTTTATTTAATTGGCTGTGAGTGGAACCAAAGTCCCTTGCTCTATTACAACTAATGAGTTTAATTGTACCAGGTGTGAAGAAATGATGGCTATTTTTAATGACCACATTGACTGTTTGTCTTAGAATAAAGATTCACTTGGTAATAAATATGTGGTTTCTTTCAACATGGTACTCTTTTTATTTTTTTTTCCTACTTCAATGAACTTTCGGTTTGAAATGTTAAGGTAATAATTAAATATCGGAAACAAAACCTCTGAGAAACAGAGAGAATTCTAGTTGGTGATTCATTTCAATTTTCTACAAATGACAAATAAGGCAACATTTGCTGTTGCATAGCAACATGTAGGCTGCAATACATCTGTGTCTAGAAGGGTTGCCTCTAAATGTTTAAGCAGTTCAAATTAACAAGTCCATCTCTAAGCAGGAATCTAAATGAACAATGAAATCATCAGTTTAAACCCTACATGGACCAACTCTTTTATGTTTAAACTTTTTTTTTTTTTTTTTTCAATTTGGTCGAATTTTGAAGTTACCTACTATTGATTAGCCACTGAAAATGTCTGGTCCAGCTGAATTTCTTAAGTTGAAAATCTGGTCCAACTGTATTTATAATTGAATAGTCCTGTACTAGAGGGTGCACTTGATAATAAATATTGCACTCATTGCATGGACAGAGGTATTGCAGCTAAAAAGATTTTAATCATTTTCTACAAAAAAGGCAGAAATCCTTATTTTGTTTTTGTCACATTATTTTATGAATAACCTTCTTAGCTGCTGTCTGTCAAAGGGCCTAAAACAGCCATTGCTTCTATTTCCACCAGCCCACCCTATAAAGAGAGAAAACAACACTGAGTTTGAATAGAATCACAAAAGGATATGACGCAAATAAAGTACAAGTCTCTAAAATATACATACTCTAGGAAGAGCAGCAACCTGGTATGCGGCTCTGGCTGGGTATTTAGTGAGGAAGACTAGGGAAAGCAGCAGATAGGAGACTTTAATCACTACAGTGGTGGTAATATGCATGTCATATACATACATACATACATACATACATATATATATATATATATATATATATATATAGTTCCAGAAGTACTTAAGTGCTATCTTTCTATTATTTCTTTATCTAGTGCCTGAGTCATTGCATCTCCTAATGGTCATTAAACACCTTGAGTGCTGTCACTGATTTTCCTGAAATAGATTTCCTCAGAAGAAGGTGTGTCCTAATCAGAGAATGAAAAGAATGTCTTTGTTTTTGTCCTTCTTCTGCCAGTTGTGATGAACCTGTTAGGCCTGGCTGCTTTATGCTATCTGGTGATTTGATTTGGCGAAAAACCTGTTAAAGCTGCATCAGAATTGTACCATAGGTCATGGAGTGCTTGCAGTGAAAGAAGCATATATATGAGCACACTCTGGCTGGAAAAACACATACTCCCAGTGAGAGTCTTAATGAAGGACTCGTGTCAATTGTATCATGGTAATCAATTCTCTGGATTCAAGGGATAACAACATATGGTGAGTTTGCCAGAAAATGACCAATGAACAATGATCTGAATTATGTGAGGTTTAGAAGCCGTAATCGACCTAGGATGAAAATGGCTCAATGACTGACATGTTTTACAGACACTCAAGTTTTTTTTTTTGCTCATTGTTGTCATAATAATAATAATAATAATAACAACGATTTTGGCCATAAATCTTAACTTCACTTTCTCAGCTTGACTTGCGTAACGTAGTAGCTCTCTGTGTTGTGCTGACACCTAGTGACAAGTCACTGCAGCTACTGTAATACGTAGTGAATAAACAGAACTTACACTGCTTGTATATATTGTTCACGTCAGTGAAGTCATTCATGTCGGCCAACAACACCGTCGTTTTGACAACTGCAGTAAACAAAACCAAAATATAAGGTGTACAATAAAACATGATGGATTTGCAAATCTGACAGTAAGTGTTTTTCTCACCATTGTCATAAGTACAGTCAGCAGCTTTAAGGATCTCACCCATGTTTACCAGAGCCTGGAGGGAGACAGTAATTTAATTTAAATTAATTTACATCGCTGCCTGTTAGTTTTGGAGGGTCACCTGTCTTGTCTGTTCCTTAACTCCACCATCCACCAACTGTCCACTGACAGGATCCATCCCCAGCTGTCCTGAGATGTACATGGTCCGATCGACCACCACTGCTTGGCTAAAGGGAAAAACAAAAAACAAGGTTGTAATATCACTAAAAGGCTGCTATTGTCATCAAGTGTTCTTCTGCTGTTTCACGATAAGCAAATTGCATTTGAGAGAAACCAGTTTCAATCACTTTAACAGTTTACGATTGCAAATCGATTGTATTTTATTTTAAACATTGTTAAAATGTTCGGTTAGTCTTAGGATATTTGTATCAAAGAACAAGTGTAAAAGCTGCACTTTGACCCCGGGTTTGTTGTTAACCACAGTAGTTTTATGACAGCTACTCAATAGTGGTTGCAACAACAAGTGACCGTGGGAAATGACTGTGAGTTAAAAGCTTCAATCGCCACATTTCTATTTATTTACTACTACACGTGTACTTTTGAGTGACTTTAAGACAACTGCTCCACTAACCTGTACGGACCAATCGCAGCTGGTGCCCTCGTTGTGCTAATGATCCTCCTAATCAATGCAGCCATTTTTGTGACCGTCATAAATTGAGGTTCAAAACACCAACAACAACCGATTAAAATCACATATGTAGTAGAAGAGCAAACGCAGAGCTGTACAGGGGCAAGGACGTCAGACTCACTTTACCGTAATTATTAGTTTTGACGTGCACAAACTAAAGAAATAATGCTACAGCGTCCGTAGCTGTACATATTTTATGGTCCCACTTAGTTAATTTGTAATTGAGAGAAGATGCAGTCACAAAGCTAATGTTTTCATTTATTTCTTTTTTATTGTATTACATATTTATTATCTAATTTATTATTTCGTTGCGCCGATATTAAAATCTTATGAGCTACGTAGACCCGGAAGCAAACATGAGTGACGTCGACAGGCAGCATGTTAAAAAAAGTCACATGGAAGCTAACCCTTAAGGCAGAGGTGTCCTACACGTTTGGCTATTTTTTTTTACTTATTTACACCGGTAAACGCAAAGGTGAGCGTACATCAAGTGTTCTTTTGAACCTGAACTATACTTTTCAATATATTATGTCTTTTCTTTGTGTTTTATCCAATGCAGAGTAACTAAACGTGGCTCTATACAGTTAGCAATAACTAGAGCCTCTGCCATTTTTGAGCAAAGAATGACAGTGTTGTGCATGTGTCGGTTGGCGTTAAAAATATACCTCCCCCTGTGCAGAAAATGTCTACAGCCAAACAAAAGATGCGGGAAAGGAAACTGAGGAACCAGCCGGCTAGTGTGCAGTATTCGTCAACCTCTCAGACTGTAGAGAGCAGCTCACAAAACGGGGGAGATGCTCCTGCCACTGCTGGTACCAACCATTTGTTATCCTGTCACTGTCTGTACCTTAGTTATGTGTGGATGTACAGTACATAATGATGTGAAAACCTCTGCGTCACTCTCTGTTATTAAGGAATTATTTTTCCGCTGAAATATTATTATTATTATCAACAACAACAACAATAATAATAATAGGCGTTAATATAATACTAATAATAACCATAATAATTGGCGTTTGTAGCACTAAAAGTTGTTTGTCCATTTCACCATATAACATTCTGAATTGACAAAATTATTAACTTTCTTAAGGAGAAATCCATGATGGTGCTCCATCAGATATTCAGAAATCTACAGACAAGCAGAAGAGCCGTGGGCAGCAGGGTGGGTGGCACCGAGGACATCAAAAAGATGGAGGGGGGTATGTCAGAGAAATGCCCCAGCACATCACAGGTAAACACAGTACTGTAAGTAGCGTCACTTTAGTGTAGTTATTGGCTCTCTGGTCTAAGAGAAAACAACTATCCCTGCTAGGTGGTGCTTTTGCGATGGCCAGAGCAGCAGAGGTGAAAGCCATGTTAAAAGCCATCTCCACCAGAACAGGCAGCTGCCAGTTGTTTGAAGCTCTGCCTCGACACATGAGGAGACGCGCCATGAGTCACAATGTCAAGCGGCTTCCTCGCAGACTAAGAGATTTTGCTAGCAGATTGGTACAATTCCACACAGGGTCACAGTATATTTAGCATGTTGTATCTAAATCTTGAAGTAAATTATTATTCAATTATTAATGTATTATTTCTTGTACGTCTGACATTTTCTGCAGCGGGAGAAGAGCCTACAGGCTGGTTCAAAGAAAAAGAAGGAAAAGGCAAAATGCAGAAGTCGCAAGGCCCGCCGCAGGCATGGAAACCTTCTGCTTGAGTTCAACCGGCGACAGAGAAAGAACATATGGCTGGAGACGCACATTTGGCACGCCAAGCGCTTTCATATGGTTAAAAAGTGGGGCTATTGTCTTGGAGACAGACCCACATTAAAATGCTATCGTCCGTGCTACAGAGCCATGAGCACCCACTGTTTATTGATGGTGACGATACTGACATCTTTTGCTGTTTAATTGATTTATTCATATACTGTTTGTTTCCCAGCCGTATAATTCATATTTAGTCATTTTTGTGAAACATAACTTGATTATTATTATTATTTTGTCTTTCAGGACCTCTCATATTATTGCTGCATTGAGTTACAGGGAGAGGAAGACAAACTTCTGGCTGCTTTATCACAACTGACCAGCAAAGAAGCTGGTAATTGCTTCAGATATGCTGACGTACAACATACAGTTCATCGGTTGACCTGATAAAGTGACACTAAGTTTGTGCTGTTAAATGGTTCCAGGTCCTACATTTGCTGCAGCTCTGTGTTTATCAGGGTTAAGACAGGGCAGTGTGGTGGTGTACAGAGCAGGAGGTTTCCCTGCTCAGGCCCTGGGCCCTGTCACCTTTCTGTGGAGACCCCGTACACAGGGCTTAACACACAGACAGCTCTGGATTTGGGCTCATCCTACTATGAAACAGGTATGTGTGTAGAAGAGTTTAAAGTGGCTATGCTGCGGCTAATAGCCATGTATTCTACAGGACACCGCACCCATTGACCCCAACACTGTGTTCTTCTTCTAGGATCTTCTTCCTGAGTTACAGATTGTCTGCCAGTGTTCTGAAGCTGTTGTCCCACCTGCTGTGCCTGTGATTACACCTGTAGATGTTCCTTATACTGCAGAGCCACAACATGAACCTGCAAAATCCCCCAAAGCTGTAAAGACCCAGGGAACCAAGAGGAAATGTAGTTCCAAGGATCCTAGTGAACCTCCTGCCAAAAAGATTGTGGGAGATGGAACCAGACCTCCTGGAACTCCCGTCACATGGAGATCCTGCTCAACTGGAATTGTGATAAAGTAATCTTTATGTTTCAAATTCAAACTTCATAATTGTTTTTCAGTGTGCTCAACTGAAATATGCTCTGTTTAAATATTATGTTTAAAAATGGTGTTATTGGTTGCAATTGCTTGGTTGAATTTCTCTTTTTCAATGTGTTGCAGTGATCTCACTATGGAGATGGTTCGCTATCGCCTCATTGGACCACAGTCCCATTCTGTTCTTACTGAAACCCTGGAAGCTGCTACAGACTGCGATGTAAGCATTGAATTGTCAAAATCAGAGTCACTCATAGAGATTCTACATTTCACAAAAAATTGAAATGTTTTCTTTAATGGTAAAGGCATCAGTAAAGCTCCAGCCATCCTCTCTGTGGTGGCCTGAACACTGCAAAGACGATGACAAGATGGGTCTACATCGACAGCAAGCTGATGTCTTTAAAACCCTAAAAGGTTTGAGTTCTTATTTGTTGGATTTGTTGCTTTTTTGATTTGGCAGATATTTTTATATCTAAGGTAAATCTTTTATTTCACTCAGACCTTTATTCAACTGGAGAGGTACCAGCTGGGATTGTGCTGGGTCTGACTGTAGATGACCCACGGCTGACTATACCACAAAAGAAGGTTAAAGCTTTGACCTGTGTAAAACAGATACAAGGTAAAATCTGGTCCACGAAACCAATAGTTGTTTTATTTATATATTTATATATTTTTCTTTCCCCCCTGATTTTATTATTTTCATGTCATAATCAAGGTTATTTGAAAAATACATCAAACACAGTACCAGCTGAATGGAGTATATAAAAAAAACTCCTGATGATGGAACAGAAATCAGTCTGTCATGTCTGGTCCTGAGGTTGTTACAGTGAGTACACATCTGGTTCTGTGCTCCAGGGGGCCTCTGCCTGACAATGCAGTTGTACCAGGTTCGAATCCTGGCAGGACCCTGTGCTCCAGACAAACTCTGTGACTGATGACAGCTGGTTCACAGGTTTCATCACAAAATCATTGATGTTTCTTCACTTAAAATATACCACAACGTTTTAGGTTGAAGTATTTTTTGTAGTCATTAATTTCACAGGCATCAGAGTTCTTCTAGAAAAATATCTGTATCAGTAACATCCTGTCTGATAAATTCAAGGCCTTGAAAACAAATCCTGTTAGTGACCAACACATCTGATCATTCTCTTTTTTTCCCCCTCAGTGTAAATGGCAAGTTTTTGGTCTTGTGTAAACATTGCAAACCAGCTGGACCATTCAGGTCTTGATATTGGATTTCTGGTTGTTTCAAATCTAAATTAAGTATTGTGTTTGTAATTTTGTAGTTAAAATCCAGTATATTTCCATTTTTTCCATTTGATTTTTTTTCCAGCCATCCTACTGGCCATTTGATGTAAATCCTATATAACACATGAATAGTGTTGCATCAGGGACAACATGTAGTGTAAGAACTAACGTTCCAAACTACTGTTGTTGAGACACCTGATGAGAAGAAAACAAAGAAAAAAATATATATTGCAAGAGAAACTGTCCAGTGCATCCTTTGTAGTAACCCCAGCAGTCTAGGCCTTTGGGGGCGACTCTAAGGTTTACCTGAGCTGCCCCAGCTCAAAAAGGGAGCTCAGAAAATATGTTGTGATTTCTGGATTGTGTTTGGATCTTGTGATGCTACTGTTCCAAAAGCTTCCAGGAGTTTCCACTTGTTTCTGCCCTGATTCTTCCAGAGGAGGATGAGCAGAAGAGGAGAGAACTGATGCTGCGGGGAGTACCACAACACTGTTGTCAGAGCCTCCTGTGGGAGCAGTCTGTACGAGACAATGTAACTGAAAACAAAATCTCAGAGCAGGTAAATTATCATAATTCATTAAACACTATTTTTTAACTTAACTGTTTCTGAAGGTGTAGATCCTGTGAGAATTTCACCTTTCTAAAATTTAACAGGAGTTAAACCGTATGAAGAGTGATGTCCTGGTGCCAGGCTCCAGGCTGAGTCCCATTCCCCCGCAAAGCCGGATTCCCATCCTGCTGCTTCACCAGCCTGGTAAACAGGTGGGACATGAGATGAGCTCCTGGGGGGCTGGATGGGACCTGCTGCTCCCTAAAGCCTGGGGTATGGCCTTCTGGGTCCCTCTGGTAGGTAACAAGTTGTACCATACGTTAAGAATAATTTAAACTATATCTTTTTAGGAGGAAAATGTGTTCAAATATATTATGTTGTGAACTGTTCTTAATGTGAAAGAATAACTAAAGTAAAGGTGTGACAAATGTTCATCAACAATTGTTTATTGGTAATTATTATTATTGGTAATGATTCAAACAATTGTGGAATTTGTGATTATATAATCCACTGGAACAAGATTTGTTTTTTTTACTTGGACATACTTGCATTAGTTGTGTGTTATGAAAAGAGCTGTGAAAATATTAAATGTAACTTGAAATGTAAAGGCTGACTTCAATCTATTATAAATCCTTTAATCCACTGTTTGTTTCCCATCTGTAAACCAGGTCTACAGAGGAGTCCTGATTGGTGGGCTGAACATGAGCCTGAAACACTCTCAGAATAAAGGTAGCCCTCACTTCCCCCATGACTACCCAGACTGTCCGGCAGGAGCTCGTTTTCAGGAGCAGCAGGAGATTGAGCTTCTTAACAAGTTTAAAAGGTCAGTGACCTTTGTAGAGCAACAGCTCAGATGCTGCAAACAAACCACCAGAGATGATACTGTGCCTACAAAGGATAAGAATGTTCTATGTAAATCTGAGCTTTTATAACATTATATTTGTGACCTTAGAGGTGACAGTGACTGAACTGGTTGAACCTTTACATTGGAACAAGTCTTAATAAAGTGTCAGAGGATCATATTTGACCTAAAGTGCATATCATTAATCTGGACAGGTATGATGGAG